TTTTTTTTTTTTAGAAGAATTTCATTGACCTTCTTGAAGTCTCTTAGCTACCTGTTTGGATTTCAAAAAAAATTTGATGTAAATTTGTCACGCAATATTAATTTATATCACAAAAGCCACTATATATAGCTTCCATGATCCAGTATTCGATCTGTTTGAACTTTAACTTGGAAATGATGTATAAAGTGAGACTATGAGGAAAAAAGTGAATTGATGGTCAGAAAATCGATCTATGTACGCTTGATTATGGCTGCCTAGCTATCATTCTATCCATTTATTTGCCACAAAATATGGAATCGATAACACAATGAATAAAATTGGGCGTGTTCAAAACACGAAATGGCGAAATGACGAAATGGTATACTTTAACAATTAAGGCATACAAAGTAGAGAGCTAACTGTCTTCAAGTCAGTGATATTTAGGCTAACCTAGGCATTATTAAGGCTAACCAGAGCGCTATTTAGGCTAACCAGAGCGCTATTGAGGCTAACCTGGGCACTATTTAGGTTAACCTGAGTGCTTTTTAGGCTAACCATAGTGAGATTTGTCAGTTCGCGCGCCATTTCGTGTTTTAAACACGCTCGATAAAGGTATCTTGATTAGGCGAAAAAACCACTCAGAGCAGGTCACAAAAACATCACTACATGTGTTCCCAGCATTCAGCAACAAACTGCTAAATAAATCGCGACGAACAAAGTATTTTTTTTTTACCCAGTCTCTGCTAAAATTCTTTCCACCACTCTCTGCTCTGATGACCCAGTCAATTGTTAAAGACTAGTTTTACTAGCTGAAATATTGGCCATTAAAATTGCCTTTCATCATCTGCTTCGATATTACAAACTGGTTTCATTAATTTTGATAAAGTATGAGCGAGTCCTATGTCCGGTAATCAAGTGAGGGAGAGATCTTGAACTAAATAGTCCCAAAATACGAAAGCCGTGCGGTAATCTCCTTTCCGGGTCTTGTTTAACTGTTGTTGAAACAGATGTCGTGGTATTAACGAAAAATCGATTGAATGGTTATCTTGTAGACAGACAGACTCCTAGAATTTGACAAACAGCTGTTATGCTGTGTAAAACATCAGCTATCAGGCGCTTCTAATAGCCGTTCAGTAAAACGCATTTTCAGAAATGGGAATCAGATGGCATTAATGATCCATCCATTGCAATTCTCCCTCGTAAGTTGTTAAAATAAGTGAAAACAAGGAAATATGGCCTTTTAGCCCAGTTAAAAAAAATAATTTAAGTTCAGTCAAGCAGCGGACCCCATATTTAGCGGACACCCTCCATTATGTGGACAGCAGTGCAAGTCTTTTAAGCTTCCCGACAAAGAGCTGTCACAGAAATGCGGTATTTTATTATTCGGTTCTGGTTTTACAAAAAACTTTTGTCCTTGTTTGATTTGCGAACTTTCACATATTTCGATCAATATACATATTGTGAATTAAATCGCCTTACCTCATATACTTGTTATTGTTTATGGAAATAAGGTATTTCAGAGTTATATTATCGACCTTTCACGAGAATACTGAGAATGCTAATTGCCTTTCAACGCTTTTTAATACTGACGAATATTAATATGACCCTTTTTAAGACGACTTCTGAGAGAACCTGTTTTCAGCGGACACCCTGTATTAAGCGGACACTAACAGGGTCCCGATGGTGTCCACCTAATACAGGTTTGTCTGTGGGCTTTTGGCTGTAAAATGTTAATCAGCCAAAATGAGAAGTTTTACAGATGAACTCCGCATAAAATTAAACAGAAGTTCTATGAAATCGAATATATATGCTAATGAAAGATAGAGCGCAAACGATCTTTCTGGCAGGGAAGTCTTCGCGTCTGTTCTAGCAAAGCGAGCATTTCCTCAAATTTGGAGACGCGATGGATAACATGTATATTTGGTCCAGCCGTTGAAACCACGTAAGGTTTTCTGGAAAGAATTCAGGAACACAGAAATATTAAAATCGCTTCCAGGTAGAAACGCTTCCAGGATTCGAAGTGTAACAACTGTAATTACGACGTTCAAGTCAGGGAAATGTTCTAGTTGTCCTGACAACAGAAATCGTATTTAAAGATATTTGAAGATAATCTCAATTTGTACCAACTTGGGCAACTGCGGAATTTAAGTCTGAAAACAAGAATCAGGCTTGAACGGGCTTCGAACCCCAGACCTCTACAATACTGGTATCACAGACGCAATTCCAAAACAAATGATGGATTGGCTTTACTCGCGCCTCAGAAGTACGTACAATGGTTGTAATATCATTTGAACCCTTTTTAGCACTAACTGGGTGTATAAAACTTCTCTTCTCCGCAAAGAACTCTTGTAGGCTGGTAGTTCGGAGGTTGGGGAGAAGAAATAAGGGAAGTGCGCGGGGAACGCCGGAAAAGAGGAAAAAGAGAAGACGGCCGCAGAGTTCACCGAAGTCTCCCGCCTTTCCCTCTTCCTATCGTCCACCGCGCACCTTCCCACTCTTAATTCACTTCTCCCTTCTGTCAGGGGGGTGGGGGAGAGACGCTAAATTATTTTTGCCCCTGGGTACTTGACTAATGATTCGATCTAGGACGTTAACTTGCATCTTACAATTGAAGGGAGGTCGGCTCCTTAAGACAAGGCAAAGCTGTAACCTTCTCGTTTCTCTGTTACGTTCGATCGCACTCAGCGTTCTATGAGCCCGACTAGAATATATCAAATCTCCGCTTATTCAGTGTGGAGCTTTTGTTATTGTTTTCTCTAATCTGATATCTTAGATTGAAAACGGCACTAGGCAAAAAATAATGATATAGATATTACAGTAGAGAACTTAGAGTTGCGTATTACCAAAAAAAACACCTTTAGCTAAAGTCGCGTGTTGGAATAAGGGTAACGAACCGGTTATTCCACTGAACCAAGTTATAACGGTGTAAAAACCCCTTCCACACTAAGACGGAGGAATTTGAAAACGGAGTTTTCACTCTAAAACGCATCAAATGTTTTCCGTCCACAGTACGCTGGAGGAATTTGAAAACGTAACATTAACCGGCCTCGTTTTGGATTTGTGTTTGAAGAAAACGGGGGAAGGGATCTAAATCACGTCATCATCGTGATGTCATCGTGATGTCATCGTTTTCGAAAAGCTCCATTTTCAAAATGTTTTCCGTCCACACTAAAACGGAAAGCCGAAGTTTTCAAATTCCTCCGATTTGAATAGCGTTTACGAAGAGCTCCGTTTTCGTGACGGATTAGTGTGGACGGTAGGCCTAACCGTATAAATAAAGCTGCGTTTTCAAATTCCTCCAGCGCAATGTGAACGGGGCCTGAGTTTTTTCTTTAAGCTCTGGTTGGCTTATACTTTTCTCCGCTGTATTGTAGGTGCCTCTTTCATTTTAACACCACAGCTATCCGAAATCTGCTTTCATGTGCTTTACCAAATTCATTTCACCATGATCTTTAGGACAAGAATTGGAATTAAGATAGAAAAGTTCCGCGTAGGATGTTCTTGCGCGTTCCTATGTGCTTTCCAAAAGAATGTCCTCAGCTTCATATTTCAATTCGTCCAAAAGTTCAACAATGTGATCCACAAGCTTCTGTAAACTGAAAGAAAAAAGATCATTCTCGATATCAGAATAATGCCATAATTCTTTTTTTCAAGTCTCAAGTCTTCTTTTTTAGAACATAGGAATGTCAGTAAAGGTAAAGATCTGATCCTACCAATGTCTGGGGCAGATTTAGGGGGGTTCTGGGGGTTAAATTAAATTTTAAAAAAATGAGGCATTATAACACTCTGACTTAGCCTCGGAATGCCTTGATTTTAACAATTTTCCTTCGGAGGATGCCCCCGGACCTCGTATAGGAGACGACCTTTGGCATTCCATAACTTGAACCCCCAGAACGTCACAGCCAACACATCTGCCAACAGTCAAATGACAATCAACGGATAGTTGGCTGTCAAGATATAGTACAAGATGCATTTGTGATGTGTTAACAATGCATTGGTGGCATGTCGTTGACTTATTCAGGCCTTATTTTTTTTAAACTCTTAACCGTTGCGATGGACAAGCAAGCTAAACCTACCTTTCCCATACTAAACTTTAATGTCTTTTGTTTCAAGTTATCAGAATGCAGTCTCCTCCACCACATTATTCCTCAGCCTGACTGGGTATTAGACAAGTTATTTTTTTATTTTGTATCTCTAACACTCTAACTGACACATTGACCATCAAGAGCTTAATTACCTTAACTTGATGGCAGCTGCCTCTTCTACTTTTTCGACATCAGAAGGATCAGCCACAGCATTTTGTTCTGCTATCTGGAACTTTGCTGTCTGATTATGTTGCAACAATATTAATGAAAATATTTTCAAGTATACATTTCAATCCATTAATTAATAATATAATAAATGTATTGATGCTTGTTTGTATATCTATGCTACTTACAGCTTATAGGAAGAAATGAAAAGAAATGAAAAAATAAATTAGTACAGTTGCACCTTTATTAAGCGGCAACCTGTTAAGTGGCCACCCCTCATTAAGCGGAAAGTTATCAGAGTCCCAAAATTATTGTCAGTAAAATACTGCAAATAAAACCCCTATTAACCAGCTAGTCCATGCCACAGAAACCATATATAAATCACTGAGAGCTATGAGCCAATTGGCTTCAAGAGGTTTTGCATCCTGAACCTAAAGTTTTCTTTCAAGATAACCTACCATTTCTAATTTCTCTTTTTCTTTGAGTTGAATTTTTCTGATAATATCCCCAATGCTGGTCTGTCCGCTCTCCCTTAACTTGGTTTCAATTGCAATGACTTCATTAGAAATGTTGTTAAATGTCTGCGTTGTATCATGTACCAGCTGTCGATATGATGGGAAATCATACATGGGGGCAGTTTCAAGATACTCTTTAAAGCCACTGAAAGATAATATCACAAAGAAATTTAATTTACTAGCCATGTGGATTAGCCTGACTGTAATATCTGTACACTCCAGCCAGGTCATGGACGCAGACCTACCACCTGAGGTTTGTTATGTTAGTATTAACTACCTAGGTGATTTTTGGTAAATTGTTGCAATATTTTTGTGTTTTTCACAGCTACCAGGTTTGAATGTACCCTAGTTCTCAGGAACTTTGGATTTATGATCCAATAACCCATTACCTATCATGGATGAAACTGATTCATACTGGTACGATTTTTGGCAGAACTTTACCCTCATTCTTTTTAACGATGATCTAAACATACCTCCCAACCTCCATCCCATTGTAGGAGGTACTTATACCACTCGTTGTTGCTAGCTGGGACGTTTTAAAAGACCCTGCTGGGAAAATGCACTTTTGGTATGTTCCTCAGTCCTTGGAGCTACATGCTAAAAGCAGCTGAGACTTTCCTCAAAAGATATTAAAATAGTTCAGACAGGGCTACCGGTATTTTTTGTTTACTTCTTGTGGATTATGGTCCTGGATGGGTTTTGAAAAGTTAGCTCGTTGAGTGCCTCTGAAGAACCGTCCAGGGTACACCGGTGTAATTCCAAAACGGCACTGAACAGATTCAACAGACTCACCTGTCAAACGTTTTGTAAGCTTTCACCCTTTCCTCCTGTAACGTAAAAAATTGCTTTATTAATTCCCTGTGGCTCATGACTGAAGCAAATACATATGCTACTAAAAGGCTAATTTAGCGTAGCCGAAAATGTCAAAAATCGTCAGGCGTTACTTCTAGTGACTGTCGGGAGGTCTGAACACTGAATTGCTTCAGAGGCCCGTCTCTAGGCCCAGGGTTTTCTCGGCCATTTCGCAAAACACCTGTAATGGCGGACGATATGGGCCATCATGGGAACATCAGTTACAAACAGCTCCACGAGAAATTTGTTAGCGATTTAAACGGAACATCGCTATTTGAAATCAATGTAGTTACTCATTCTGCTCCAGCAGCCGTTTTATTAAGGACAATTTTATTCAATGTCTTGTTTTCGAAGGAAGAAAACTTCTCAAAGTTAGTCTTCTGTTGGTAAGTTCGTGCTGCAGTGGAGTATTTACATTGAAAATCTTTCTTCTGTTTTATAAGATGCCAGCTAAAACAACCGCAAGATGGGTACCTTTTTTTTTCAATACATCCATCCTCCCCCATGACTTTGTCTTCAATGAGGCCACTCCACATGTCTGGGACTTTCCATTTTTGATCAACCCCCNGTAAATACATATGCAACGTTCTAGCGGAGGCGAAAATGTCGAAAATCGTCAGGCGTTACTTCCAGTAACAGTCGGGAGATCTGGACACTGAATTGTTTTAGCCTAGGCCCAGGTTTTCTCGGCCAATTCCACAAAAATAAATAAATGGCGGCCGAAATGGGCCTTCATGCGAACATCAGTTACAAACAGCTCCACGAGAGATTTGTTAGCGATTTAAACGGAACATCGCTATTTGAAATCAACGCAGTTACTCATTCTGCTCCAGCAGCCGTTTTATTAAGGACAATTTTATTTAATGTTTTGTTTACAAAGGAAGAAAAGTTCTCAAAGTTAGTCTTCTGTTGGTAAGTTTCTATTAAATGCTTACCTAAAGTTGCAGTGGAGTATTTAAATCTTTCTACTGTTTTATAAGACACCAGCTAAAACAACAGCAACGACAACATCGGCAGTGTTTTTTCAATACATCCATCCTCCCCCAATGACTTTGTCTTCAATAAGGACACTCCCATTTCAGGACTTTCCACCCCCACCCTTCGTGGATAAGAGTCAGACCATAAATGGAGCGTCCCTACCCCCCTTGCAGTAAAATCCAAGTAGAAGCATTTTACCTCATAGAAGCAAACTGTTAATTACTTCAATTATAATCAAATTTAGCATATTTGTTATTTCTCTTATGTGTGCTAAAATTATTTTCTGTTACAGCGTGGTCTTTGTGGTGGATTACTGCTCCTTAGTCATACCTGTGTTCCTGGCATTCACAGTACTAGCTGATCACATACATTCTTTGCTAATAACCTGTTTGTGTCTGTCTATGGGAATGCTACTTCTGCAATCAATGAAGAGCAACAAAGTTCAAAGTCAGCATTTCCAAACCCTCTCATCTGCTGACATGTCAAGGAAACGGCCCTTCATTGGGGGCTTTAGAGCATATGTTCTGATCACTACAGCTATCGCCATACTTGCTGTGGATTTTGTCATCTTTCCTCGACGTTTTGCCAAAGCCGAAACCTATGGAAGTGGGTTGATGGATATGGGAGTTGGAGCATTTATAATTTCTAATGCCATTGTATCTCCAGAAGCAAGAGACATTTATTCAAGTGATACTGGTTTTATTTCAGCGGTCTTCAGGTCTTTAAAGTCGTCTTTGCTGCTACTAGTTCTTGGTGTCATGCGGTTTTTATCTGTGAAAGGTACAGATTACCAAGAGCACGCTAGCGAGTATGGCACTCACTGGAACTTTTTCTTCACATTATTTGTTGTAAGGGTGAGTGACTCTTATT